GTGATGGAAGAAGACCACGCTGGATGACTGAACTGGCCTGGGCTGTGTTTAAGCGGCTCAAATCTATTTTTTTTTTCCTTTTACCTTTTTTCTTGGCTTTGGGAAATGCATCATTTTAGACCATTTTACCAAACATACTGGGAAATAAAACTTCAAAATGATGTTAGAATGTGATTTAACTAGAACTTGCTGTTTTATGTTTAGCATTACAGGATCATGGAACATTTAGGAAATATTTTGGAGTCCTTGAGGGTTTCCTATGAGATGCTTGATTTTTGCTCTGAACTGCATTGTAAAGTTGGTCCAAGGACTACGTTTACATGCAACAAGTTTTAATATACAAAAATGGAAGCCTTGACTAGAGTATGTGGTAAACCACTCCGGACTTGCCCTTCCAGTTCCCAGAGTCCTCGAGCCTCCTTTTCTCAGTAGTGTTTTTAACTGTAAATGCAGCCTTGGGAGGGTTCTAGACTTTTAAAATGTTTTTGCTTTTCCCCACCGACTAGTTCTGGTTCTCCGAGTCAGCTGCACACGGTAGTTTTGGCATGCTCCAACTGGTCTCTGTCCTTAATGTGCTTTGCTTTCTGCAAAGCATTTCTGTAATGGTCAAGCTTGTAAATAACTTTTTTTTACATTTTAATCTTTTTCCATTAATTAAGAGGTATGCAAAGATGCAGTTTAAATAAACCCCAGTATTTTAATTCCTTTCAAACTCAAGTGACAAGAGAATTGCTGAAGTGTAAATGTTGGAAAAGCTGTTGATAACGGATCATGTAGAGAGAGGTACCCAGACTGCTCCTCGAAGAAGAACAACAACAGGAACCCACCTGTGAAATCTGGTTTTGAAGCACACAGAACTGGCATTTGAAACCTGTATAATTAACCTTCTTTTCRAGTTATAATTTTACGACTACATTTTTCTTTGCTCTATCTTGTAGTTGTATTTTGTGTTTATGAATCCTTTGTTAAGGCAGAAGTGGTGGTTTATAAGTGGGTCACTGCAGCCCTCAAAACCTGGGCCAGGAAATATTAATAGGTCAGTAATTATACAATTTTGGATCTCTAATAAAGACAAAGAATAATGTGAAATACAAATGATGCCTGTATATGAACTGTCACATGTTAAAATATGTAAGCTTTTTATAGAGCCTCAGTCTTGCTGATTTCAAACAAATTTTTCTTCTATGTATCGCTTTTAAGAGAGCTATCAGTTTAGCTATCGGACCCTAGGTTGATGCATTTTTGTACTTAGCTGTACCGTGTGATATTTTTCATTATTTTAGGAAGCCAACATGGGAAAAAATACTGTTATAAAATATGTAATGGGGTTTGAAAGCTGGGAAGGAGAATATACTGCTGTACAGCTAATAAATAATAATGGATTAACATGTGTGCTCATGGGCTGCTTTCTTTGTATTTAGTAACTGCTTGTCCTGGCAGCAATCTCCAGACTGCAGGCTCCTCTTTGTAGAAAGATGCTTCAGGAAGGCCTGTGTGACCGAGGAGCAGCAGGTACTGTGCATTTGTGCCTCTCACGATGGACGTTGAGGTAGCTGAGGTAACTAGCCATGACCTTCAATTGTGGTGTGGTGTCTTTTGTCTGCCACAGGTGAATGTGGGCACATAACTGAATGTGGTTGCGGTGGCCAAGCTCCTACACTGCTGGTGTATGGTCTGACTTGCCCTCTAGCACCTTTTGGTTCCACAGGTCTAAGCTGCTTGTTCAGCTAGGGCTGAACAGAGGAGCATACCGGGGTAAGATGATAACCCAGAAGGTGCTGGGCTTGGCCACTCATTGATTTAAACAGCAGCACCATGTCTAGTCSTATGAATGTGTAAATAAAAGTTGTCTGGAGGTTAGTGCATGAAATCCTGAGCAGGCTGTGAGTTTGTCTCGGCAGGCAGGAGGTGTAAACCCAAGGTCCTGCAGGCAAGGAGGAGCCAGATCCGGCTGCAGAGGAGGACACATCTGAGGTGGATTCTCAGCTGGACCCGGAGCTTTGCTCTCATCCACAAGAGCGCTTCAGAGCGAGGCAGCCGCCGAAGGAAACGCCGCTCTAGCCTAGAGCAAGAGAGGTTTGTGGCAGAGAACCAAGCTCTCTTCAAGCCCTGTGTTTGTCTGCAACGTGCGTCAGCGCCGATGGAACATGAGAAACGCAGCTGACGGAGCTGCCACCGCGGCTGGCTGCGGCTCGGCCCCCTCGCGTCTGCGCGCGCCACGGCTTGAGCTGCAGCACCACCGTGTGCCAGGTAGGTCGCAGCAAGTGCGGTCCCTGCGCTGCAAGTACCACAGGAGGAGTAACCCGAGCTCCTAAACCTTGGGGTTTAACCCATCCCTGAAAAGGGGGGAATGACAAACGTTGCTTTGTTTTAATTATTGACCTGTGGTGGTACCCCAAGGAGGTCTTGGGTGTGATTGAGGCCTGTCTTGGTCCACCTGCATGCATGCAGGTGGACCAACATTTTGTTGGTGTTCCTGGGTGCCACTGAAGTCCAGGACATGTTGGCAGCTGCTATGGAGTTCAGAGGACCTGGAAGAAAGGGCTTGCTCTGCTGAGAGTTCAMATGTAGGCCAGAAGAGGAGACACTGCACAGGGGTGACAGCTTTCAGATTGTCTTTGCTGGCAGCCTGTGTGGTTCTTGGTGGTTCCTGTTCCTGGTGGCTCCTGCCCTGCTGGTCACAACCTGCTGGCAGCAGCACATGTGGGAAGATGGAGCTGATGGAGGCCGCCCCAGCGCTTCCTGTTGTGCCTTTTTTTGAGGGAATGATTTCAAAGCCACATTATTTAATGCAATGTGTATGCATAGTGTACTTGGATTATCCGATCCACCATCTATGATGGATCAGATCCATCTATGGTAGGCTGCTGCTTGTTTTTTTTTTTTTTTTTTTTTCTTTTTCCTGAAAAGTCTAAGCCAAGACTTAGTGGGAATGGGAGCAGTCACCCTGTGGCCCCTTTTCTTTCTCCTCTGACAGGTCCGTCACTGCTCTTTCAGCTGACCTGGTTTCTGTGTGCTTGCTCCTAAGTAGTTATGTTATACAGCCAGGTTTTGATGTGTCTTGAGCTGAGGCTTCTGCCCTGGGCAGGTATCTCCGTTTACCTCTGGTTGAGCTGCTCTGGAGAGATGTGACGTTCCAGTGAGCTCTTGAGGATAGACCCTGTCCTGGGTGATGGGTGCCAGCAATTCTGTGCGGTGCAACCAAGTCCAAATGCAGAAGCTCATCTCTGCCCTAGGAAATGACAAAAAGTGCGGTCTGTTCATCCCACCACTGTTATCCACGCTGGAAAGCRTTCCCGGTACCCTGAGTGGAAAAGGTATGGTTGGTGTGAGTCATTTTGTCACCTACCAGCCTGGTCACGCTGAGTTAGTAGGCACTTGGGCGCTTGGAAGTAGCGTTAGCTCAACTCTTTTCTGGAGTGCTGCTAACCTCTCTCCCTTAGTGTGGTAATGGTAGAGATGAACGCACAAGGAGAGGATAAAAGTCTGTAAGCAAGCGTTGCTGAGGCAGGGAGGTCGTGTGGCCTCCACAAGTGCTGCTGCAGGTCCCTTGGGTCTTCCTCCTGGCCTCCAGATCTCCCTGCTTTGCCCGGCTGCCATCCCTGGGGCCCTGGGCTTCTCTCCTGAGAGCGTGTGCTGGAGAACGGCGTCAGCCGCACGGGAAAGCAGGCACAGGGAGGCTGGTGTCGTCTCCGAGTTGAGGACTGAAGCACCCTTGGGTTCCAGCACTTGAGAGTTCCCACGGGTGAGAGACACCAGTTCAGAGCTTTTTTTAGTGCCTCTAAGTTTCCATAGGAGCCATCACCTACTGAGCCTCAAGGGGATGGTTGTTCTCTCCATGTGCTGAATCTCCTTGCTAAAGCCATGACAAAGCTGGCTTCGGGTGTCCCTTCTGAGATGTTCAGGTAGCGACAACATGATCTCCTCTTGCCCTGGAAGAGCCATAGATAGATCCAAGGAGTGCTGTCCCTGGGGAAGCTACCCAAAGTGGACACCCTGCCTCTTAGCGGTGCTTACCCACCCGTTGGCTGGGTCCCAACGCTCAGGTGGCTGCTGCCACCGCTGTCCTTGCCCTAGACCCTGCCTCAGCTGCAGGCCACATCCCACATTGTGGTCGGGCTCTATGGAGACAGCAGCGTCTGCAGGGACATCACTTCCTGCCTCGCTCTTTGCCTYGAGGGATGGTCTGAAAATGCTCCGTTGCCAGCTTGGTGCCAGCGTCACCCAGGGATCAGCCTGTTCTGGGCCATTCCGTCCCCATCCCTGCCTCTCCTGCTTGCTTTGGGTCACTGGTTGTGCCAGAGCGGTCACCTGGACCTGACACCCAGGCCCTTTCTGCTCAAGCGGCCACATCTGCAGGGCCCGGTCACCGTTGCTGGAGCCTTCAGCTGCCCGGTGCCGTGTTGAGGGCCTGGGGTAGCCCTCCCGTCCAGCATCCGCACGGGAGCAGAGCTGCTCTCCTCACGCTTCCCAACCACCTTCGAGGTGTGAACGGGCACCCATAAGGTGGGATCCCATAAGCCAAYGAATGCAGGGCAAGAATAAATCAGCACCCCTAAAGCCTGAAGTGTGGGGCCAAGGGGGAGAAGATGCTGCTGCCAACACGGAGGAGCCCACGTGCAACAAGAGCCTTCTCCCACGTGGCAGAAGGGCCGGAGCGGCGAGCGTGGCGCCCTGCTCGCTGGGCTGCCCTGGGCCTCGCTCGTGGCCGGGCCCGCCCGGGCGCCGCCGCCGTGGGGCCCGGGCGCAGCGGGGCCGCGTGGGCCGCCCGCTCTGTCGCTTTCATTTCTCTTCTCCGGCTGCCTCAGTAAATCTCGCCTGAYGGGGCAGGAAGAGGCACCGAGGCCTGGGAGGGGGAGGAGGCGCCGAGGCAGCGGCGCTGCCGCTCGGTAACCTCAGCGCTTCCTCCACGTAAGGCGCCCTTGGCTCCGAGCAGGGGCTGTGCGGGAGGATGCTGCCCTGAGAGCTCGGCGTGCCGCGTGGTGTCCGTGGGCCCCGCCATGGCCGGCTCGTCCGGAGGGCTCCCCGCCGAGCTGCAAGGTAAGGCTCGCCCCCYGCGCGCTCTGGGGGTGCCGCATGGAGCTGCTGAGCGCGGCCTGCCCCGATGCCCGCGCGGCTGCATGGGGCTGCCGGTGGGTTCCTCAAGAACCCCGGCTCGGGGACACCTGAGCAGCGCCTGGGACACGGGGCCGCAACCCTGGCTCCCTGGAGGATGCTGATGAGACCAGAAGTGACCCTTAAGGTGAGGYTGGCCCACCAGGGATGTGGCTTTGCGAGGCTCCGCTGAGCAGCAGGGCTTGCAGGTGCAGCACGGGGCCGCCGCGGGTGCAGGTTTGGGACCCCCTGCAGGTTGGGGATCTCCGCTGGTTTCCTGTGCTCGGCGGGGAGGCCAGGCCCGCGGCGCTGCCGGGGCGGCGGGAGGGACGGGTGAAGCACTGTGGCCAGCCGCCCCTGAGGCGCTGGGGAAGTGTGAGGCTTTTTGGAAGATCTGACCAAAAACCCAAACGACCGCAGGAGGATGAGGGGCCCTCGCCTCACCAGCCCTGCTTCCCCGCGTAGTGGGGTGGGGAGGCCTGGGCCGCGTTGCTGCTGGGCAGACCCGATGTCCATCTCTACCTGGTGCATCCCCACCTACGTGGTGGCCAGGCTGGGGGRTCTGTGTGCTCCTCTTTCACCTTGCTCGGCTCTCTTTGGGGTTGACCAAAGCAGCAGACCCTCTGGGACACAAACCTGCAAAGAAATCCTCTAGATGGGATAGGCGTGCAAGAAGGAGGTTGGATAGTGTGGTCTTGGGATGCAGAAAGCCAGGCAGGAGTTTTGTCAGGAGAACTCTTGACCTAGGAGGGATATGAGCTAACGAGTCCCTGCTGCCAGCAGAGGAGCTGACAGGGCTACCAGCAGCTTCAGCGAGGGCCGGAGTGAACGATGTCGTTGTGAAAACTTGGTCTGCTTTGCAAGGAGACGGGCAGCTGCAGTCCCAGTCACAACAGCGTGTCCCGAGCAAGGGGGATGAATCATGAGGAGGAGGAGCAGCTAGACAGAGAGGTGAAGCAAAGCTCAGGATGAGCCAGCACACAGCTGCAGGCTTGCCCACAATGACCGTGGGATAGAGACAGCCCTGCAAGCACAGGGTGGCCAGCACAAGTGACTATCCACACACATCATGGCCAAGGCAACTTCCCCCCCCACCCTTCCAAAAAAAAATATGGAAAGGAAAAATATATATACATCCCTGGATGCAGCATGGAGAGGGCAGGGCTCATCTGGGGCGCTGAGGAGCTTAGGGTGGGAGSGTACACATGTCCCTATAGCCAAGTGCAGGAATAAAGGAAGAGGAACAAGCTGTCCCACAGCGCCAGGTCCCCATGAGCGAGGCTCTTCCAAATGAGTGCAGTGTAACCCCAGCATGGGTAGGCAGATGCCTGGCAGTGGCACATCAAAGGGGAAACCCGCTCYTGGCTCAGATGGGGTGAGGACCAGTCTCTGTCCCACCAGAGAGGCTGCGTGAGGGCTCCGGGCCTTTGGCCTGGGACAGCTTGGTGGCAGATCCCTGCTGCCCGGAGATGCTGGAGGTGCAAGGAGGAGGTTTGTGTTGTGTCATAGGATTGCTGAGAGCACTGCTGTGATTAAGCAGAGCTGGGGCCACATGTGGACCTTCTCTGCAAAAGGATATGCATGACCAGATCCCATCCCTCTCYACTTAGCCCTGGGTCCTCCATCTTGGCGTGGGAGTAGGGAGTTCTGGATGTGCTTGGGGTAACAGGAGGATCATCTGGGGCACGTTCAGCCACGCAGCCTCCTGGGCAGCAGATCACAAGCACACAGTAAAAGGACCAYGTGTGACTGCTAGCTTCAGCCAGATGAGTTACACTGGACTTCGCTCTTTTCAGAGGGCATCGCTGCCTTCCTGGGCGCCAAGAAGATCCTCCTGGTCAAGGCGGTCCAGCTGCAGGTGAAATCCAAGTACGATGACTACATCTTGGTAAGTGCAGGGTCCGTTGCTCCATCCCTTTGCTGTTAGATGGACCTCGCTAAGGGTCCCAAACCCGCAGCGCACAGAGGACACAGTGCCAACCTCCCTGAACTGACAGGGCGCTGGTGACACAGGAGCTGCCATCCTGCGTCACCCAGTCCCCTGTCACCCTGGTTTCTCCTGCCTAGGTGCTGACCCCCTGGCGAGCCTACGTGCTGCTGGTGGTGCTGCCAGTGAGGGTAAGTGTTGGAGTTCCTCTGCCCCACAGCAGAGCCCCACTGCTCCTAGGAGGGCCCTGCCCACCGCCTTGGGGCACCAGGGCAAGGCCAGGGTGCCCTGCACGGTGGGACAAGAGGTCTGGAGAGCTCCTGGGAGCAGAGCCTGTCCATGGGTTTTGTCCCCAGCATGCAGCAACATCGGGAGCTGCAGATAGGGACAGAGGGCTCAGATCAGGTCACCATCACTCAGGCGAAGGGTTTGGGGCTGGAGGGCTCCGGCCAAGCGCAGGGAGAAGCTGTGGCCAAGCACAGCCCTGGCTGGGCATGGGGCGGAGTGTGTGGTCCTGCTCTGCGGCTGATCCAGCCCTGCTCTGCCACCAGGTGCACAGCAGTTTCAGCTTCCTGGAGGTGCGGGAGATGACGGTGCGAGAGCCCAGCCTGGTGAGTGGCGCCCAYTGGGAAAGGCCCCGCTCGGAGCGGTTCCTGCGCGGGGCACGTGGGCACCTGGAGCGCCAAGGCACGTCCTGCCCCTCTCCTCGCTGCAAACCCTGGCCTGGAGCCTGCTGTAGGGCCAGGGGAGCTCRTTTCTCACCGATCTTACGTCGGGGGTCACCAACGCGGAGCCTCGGGAGCTTCCCAGCGTGTTTATCCTTTTGCCACCTCCAAAGAAATCCTCTTAGGACTTTGCCCATGCTGGTGCCAGAGAGAAGGGAGGTGCTCAGGGGTGCAGAGAAGGGGTCTGGGGTCTGCACCCCCACTCCTCCGGTGTATAGGGCCGTGTGCTCTGCAGATGCCTGGAGCCCGAGGCAGCGCCTGCCTCCCTGGGCACTGGGGTGACACCTCCCGCTCGGCAGGGACGCGGTGATCAGCCACGCCTGGCTTAGCCAGGCAAAGCCAAAATTAGCAGGAAGGTGCTTTAAACCCCATAATCCTCTTAACGGCAAGGTAGGCGTGCGTGGCAGGGGGAGCAAACCACGGAGGAGAGGAATGGAGTGCCCCAAATTGGACGTGTCAGTTGTAGCCAGGGCTGTAGGCCTCGTTAGACTCTTGCTTTTGCTCATTAAAGCACCAGTGATAGCCCTGCCTCCTAACTAGGGCTGCTGCTTGACGTTAGAGAGACAATCCTCTTAGGAGCAGGCGGCGTCTCTGAGCTGCGCTTTGCTCGGAGCAGGCAGGAGCGCGGGGTTAAAGAGGAGAAAGGCAGGGAGAGCAGGAGGAGGAGCCGGGAGCCTCCGGGGAGCTGAGTATCCAGGGCTGGGAATGCCTGGGGTTGGGCTGGCAGCTTGTAGGCTGCAGCTCAGGAGGACTCCRAGGCTGTAGACAGGACCGAGTGATGTCCAGGGCGGGACAGTGTCACCTAGGCACTTAAGAGAAGCTGGAAAACCAACTAACTTCACGTGACTGACTTCTCTCTGAGGCCTCTGACTGGGCACAGTGTCCTGAGGCTTTAGGGCAGCTCTAGGGCTTCTTCTCTTGCCAGGCTGGGGCAGGCAGAGACGGGCCCTGCAGCCACACGTGGTGCCCCAGCTCCGACAAGAAGCTGCGTCTTTATGCAGATATCTGTCATCTCCCTCCTACATCTCAATCAGCGTGCAATTAAATTGGGGGATGTGTTGCCATGGGATTTTTGTAGGAGCCAAGAGCTGAAAAAGCCTCAAAACCCAACGAGAGGAATTCGAGGAGGAAGCCTCCATGGGGGCTGCGTAAGGCAGCGAGCTGGCTTGGCTGCGCTGGGCACGGCAGATGCAGCAAGCTGCTCCTGGAGGCCCTTCCTGCCCACTGCTCGCACTAGGGAGGTGTCCCCAGGTGTTTCTGCCCTGTCATCCCCTCCGCTGCATCCAGCTTTTCCAGCTTTGCAGGGACAAAAAGGTTTTCTCCACCGGAACAGCGAGGGGCAAAACTGATCTGGAGGCAATTTGAGGGTACAGGGAGATCTTGTTGAGGATGAGCAGGTTCCGGCACCACCGCCACTGCCAAACTGGGGCTATCTTGGTGCTTTCAATCCCTAAAGCTCTTGGCAAGGAAAGGACACGCTGCTATCGATTCCCCTGTGTCTCTGAGAGCTAATCACCAGGAGACCACGAGCTTTAAGCCGGCCTCATCCTACAGCCATTGCTGGGGCTGCTGCAGGCAGAGGCTCTTCTCGCCCTGCCTGCTTGGGGCTGCTTTTGTGTTACCTTATTTAATTCTGTGGGGGTGGAGGCAGGGGAGGGGGGTGTTAATGCTTTATTCTGGCACACCACGGTGTCGTTACTGTATTTTGTCCTAAATTCCTGCTGCTCTCCGCCTTCCCTGCGCTTGCAGCAGTCCAACGTTCGGACGGTTGATCTCGGTGTCGTGTCTGCACGTTTGGGGATGCTGCACGTTGCCAGTTTTCTCAGCTGTCTCCTATCCTTTGGCCTCTGCAGGTTGCCATAGAAACAGATACATCTTCTTATGCCTTCCGGCTTATGTCGTTTGAGGATGTGGAGCAAGTTGTCATCCATGTCACCATGTCACTTAAGAAGGTCTTTCCAGACTCGTCCCCTGGGTAAGGGTCCCCTYGTCCTCAGGGGTTGTCATGTAGGAACTGGAGGGCTCGTGTCACCTTGGAGGGACCATCTGGAGGCTCAGACAGAGCCAAAATCCAGGTTGGGGTTCCAGCAAGAGGAAACCATGCTGACRGAGGCCAGATGTTCCTTGTTCCCTGATCACATTGGGAAGAATATTTCTGGGCCTAGCATATGGGTTATAGCTAGGCATATGTTGGGATGATTTTCTCCAGCCTGCTCCCTGATCCTTCCCCCAGAACGCTGCTCAAGAACTCGCCGCCCGACGTGTACGAGAGGATCTGCAGGATCACAGACTCCCTGGAGGAAATGCTGCAGAGCAACCAGGGGCCCTGCGGTGAGTGCCGCTCTCCCTACACCCGCTGCAGCCGGGGCAGAAGGGCTAGAGCACCTCGGAGGTCTGTCACAGCCCAGCATCCACCCTTTCCAGCTGCAGAGTCATCCCTGTGTGCCCCATCTCGTGGAGTAGGAATGAGGGGCAAGGTGTGTGAGCAAGGAGCCCATCCAGCAGCTTCCCAGAAAGGAGGTGGCAGCTGTATGGGGAGGATGCTCCATCGGGATGCATCCACCCACAAGGGTTCGGAGCCGTAGATGCTTCTGTCTGCAGCACCAGGCCTGGCTGCTCGTTGTTTGGAATAGAGTTAGGCCAACGTAAGCTGGAAAGAGGGCTGGTTGCTAAAAAGACACAGTCCTGGCATATCTCTGCCATCACCATGACAACACAACTTGCCTGGCATCTTATTTCTCAATTTGGGGAGATGCTGTTACAGCGTGGAAATTGSATCCTGGGTCCTGTGGGGTGGTGGCGCAGGTCTGGAGCTGAGATGCTGATGGACACGTTGGACAGGCAGACTGTGTCCCAGTCGCACAAATGGGGAGGATCATGGGGAGCCATAATGAGGAGGCCACACCGATGTGCTGGGGAGGGCTGTCGTGGCTGCAGTCACTGGGGCTGTATGGGGAGAAAACCTCTTAGTGAAAGGCTGATGAGAGAACAGGCAAGAGGAGCTGGGATCTCCTGCACGGATGAGGTGGCGGGAGGGGACATGCTGCCTCAGCTCCCCGAGCTGTGCAGTTCCTTTTGGCATGGCAGTGGACCAAGAGGGGCTCTGCAGCCCCTTTGGAGGGCAGGGAGAGCCTCTGCCTTCCCCTTCTTGCTTCCTGCCCACCCCGCCCCTCCTCGGCGCTCCCCTGAGCAGGGCTGCTCACGGAGCCGTCGCTGCTGCCCTTCCTTGCAGGTGGCTTTTCAGAGACGTACGCTGCTCTGTGCRACTACAACGGCTTTACCTTCCGCGAGGAGATCCAGTGGGTGAGGCGCTCCGGCCCGCCGGGAGGAGAGCAGGGCAGTGGGGAGGGCTGGGAAGCGGGATGATCCCGGTTCCTCCACGGCACCCCAGCACAGCTATCCTGGAGCAGAGGCATTCGGGGCACTCGACTGTCTTGGGGACCGGATATGTCCCCAGGCTGGGAATATCTCAAGGGCAAGGAGCATCCTAGGGTGATAGGAGCATCCTAGGGCTGAGAACGACAGTTTCACATCCTTGAGTGTTTTCTTCTCTTTGATGGGGTGGATTGAAGTGCGAGGGAGGATGAGGCACCTTGAACTAGGAAGGTTCCCAGGCTGACATATAAGCCCCACAGCCCCAGCAGGGCGGTTTGTCCTCCTCCTCCTCCTGGGGGACCTCAGCTGACTGGAACCCACATCTTTCCAGGCCCTTGTCCCCACCACAGAGAGGAATCATTGGCCTGGCCAATTCACAGGGAAGGGGTCAAGGAGCCACCGCAGCCTGGGGAAGAGTTGCACAAGTGTGGGACACATGCTTTGCTGCCTCTGTCCTAGGAAGGTTTTGGGCTGTGCGTTTAGACGTGAGGCTCCTGGCATCTGTGTAGGCTTTTGAGGGCCATGGGAAATGGGTACATGAATAAGGGTCCTTAAGGATTTGGCCTCTGGGCAAAACGCAGCTCCTTGCACTGACRGCCCAGCTTGCCAGGCATGGAAAGTGCTTCCCTAGGCCTGGCACTGAGCCCTGCCTGAGCATCTCCTCTGTCTGGCAGGACGTGGACAACATCTACCACAGCCAAGACTGCCGGGAGTTCAACCTGCTGGATTTCAGCCACCTGGAGAGCCGGTGAGTCGCTCAGCCCCTCGGCAGGCCTCGCGAAGGCAGGAGTGCCCCACGACCCTGCGCCCTGGCCCTGCTGCCCTGCTCACGCCAACCCTTGCCCCCTTCCTTGCTGTCCATGTCCGTGGCACGGTGCTTTTCTGTCCTCTTGCTGGAGGTTTTTATCTCTTTACTTGCTCCGAGGAYGGTGGGTTCATGCCCTGCTGGCTGCAGGCCAGGGACACTTCCCTATCTGTTCTTAACGCTTTCATAACCCCGAGAACTAGTTAAGCAGGTGATAACTGAAGGCCGTGTCAGTCGCAGCTTGTCTGTCAAGTGGTTCCTTATGCAAAGCAGTCAGCTCTGCTAAAAGCTGCAAAAAATTTGCATTTCTCTGCATCCCCTCCAGGCTGCAGCCCTGGCAGTGCCCCTGAGGGCTGCTAGGGGGTTTTAGCCTCCTAATGAGGCAATGAGCTCAAGCTGTGCCCAGAACCTTATGCTCAGGTTGTCCTAACAGCTCCTCCTGACAGATAGGACCTCCAGTCCAATCCGTACTTACATGTTTGGTCATATCTAGACAGATGGAGACATATCTAGAGATGTGGCCTTAGAAAGAAGCAGTGAAGGTTTATCTGAAGGGTAAGGCAGCTGGCCAGGCTCTCATCTGCCAACTGAGAAAGAGTAAATCAAAAGTCTGGGCCTTTTGTTTTGGGGAACAGGGSATCTGTGTTTGGACCACCTAAATGGGGACGTTTTTACATATTTATTTGGACCAGAAAGTCCAAATTTCAAAGCAAGACTTTAAGTTACGAAGTAACTTTCTATTCAGTCAAGCACATGTGTTGTTCTTGAAATGAAGGTGAGTTCGAAACAAAAATGGACATCCTAATAGGGACATCCACATTTTTGACTGGTTTTACTGTTCCCTGGTGGGAACAATCTGGAAGAAAAGGAGTTCTACTCTTGAGGTGCTCAAAACTCACAGGCCTTCTCCAAAAAATGCCCTGACTGCTGAGTCCTGCTGCGATGGACACTGAATTTGTGCACAGTTGTGGAGTATGGCCTGGGGTGGTGGAGCAGTGCACACCAGAGCTGTTGTGGTTGGGCACCAGTTGGGTTTGTGGCTCCAGGGTGACCCTTTCAGCACCCAGGGGTGGTTGTGGGCACCCTGAGCCTGGCCCCTGACTGCCTYGTCCCTGTCACCCTGCAGGGACGTGGCACTGAGCGTTGCTGCCCTGTCCTTCAACCTGTGGTTCACAAGGCTCTACTGCAAGGACTTCAGACTGGTGAGTGGCCGTCACGCAGCGCGGGTCCTGCTGGAGCTGTGTCCCTGGGATGGCCAGGCTCTCAGCAGAGCTCTCTTTACCTGCAGAACCTGGAGATTTCAGAGCAGCTCCTGTATATGCTGAGCAAATCGGTGAAACTGGAGGAGCTGGTGCTGGAAAACAGCGGGCTGAAAGCGTAAGGACACGTGTTGCTTTTCCGAGTGTATTCTGTCCTGTTGATGCATCCCGGACAGCACTAGATCATTGCCAGTGCAGGGAGCTTCCTCAATCTTTCCCCCGGCTATTTAGCTGATTAAAACAGCAGCTGTTTTAATCAGCTAAATAACCAGCTGTTAAAACAGCAGAAGTTTTTGTCAACTGTGAATCTATGGGTGTCTCTGCGTGCACAGTGCAATGCAGCCCAGCTCACCTCTAGGCCCTTCTCTCTTTAGTGACTTTGCTCAGAGGATGGCCCAGGCCCTCAGCAGACATCCTGACTCGGTGCTCCACTCCATCAATCTTGCTGGCAACCAGCTGGAAGACAGAGGTACCCCATTCTCCTGCCGTGCCAGGATGGGTTTAAGCTCACATAAAATGCTGCTTTTTCTCCTGCCCTGGGAATTCCCTGCAGCTCTTTCCCCATATCTGCATCCCCTTGGCAGCTGGGCCAAGGTAGCTCCCTTCCTGGACACCCCAGTGGGGAGCAGCACTGGGAATGGSCTGGCTCTGCTCCCAACCCCTAATTCCCCATGCAGGCTGCTGGGGAGTGCATGGAGCAACCCGCAGCCTCCTTCCACAGCTCCCGGCCCTCGAGCTTTCCAGCAGCCCAAGCCCCTTATCCGTGTTGCTGTGCCTGCAGCGAGCAGCTCGGAGAGCTGCCCTGCGCAGGGGATGGTGACTGAGGGTGCAGCAGCCACCCATCTGTGCTGCCACGGCTGCTCAGGGCTTTCTGTTTCATCAGGGGTAATTGCCTTCAGCCGGCACGTGGAGAAGAGGCCCAAGGGCCTGCAGAGCCTCAACTTGGCCAGGACATCGCTCACTGCTAAAGGTAGAGCCCTGAGACCACGCTGCTGCTCCCAGGTGGGAAGATGGGCATGGAGACTCCATTCACAGCATTCATGGCTCAGAGGGGCCAGGCTGGCACCAAAGAAACTCCCAGAGGTTGATGGCATGGGTGGGCTGGGGGCTGTGTCCCCCCACAGGGCATTTCAGAGGGTGGCACACTGGCCAGAAACAGCATCACCACCAGCTGCAGGTGAAATGTCTCCAAAATGATGTTGCAATGCCTGACTGGGCTCCCTGGCTCCACAGGGTCGAGCAGGGTGAGGAGAAGGAATGTTCTCAGGGATGTCTTGGAAGGGACATGTTTGAGGGCACGATGYCCTGCTGCCCTGGGCGTAGGAAATTGTCCCTTTCGCTGCTGCGTGGCTCCTCACAGTGCAGGGATGGGCTCTGTCCATCTGACTCTTTGGCSTCCTCTTGAGCAGGAATGAGCACGTTGTGCCAGGCCCTCGCGGCCAACCAAGTCATCGGCTCTTCCCTCCGGCACCTGGACCTCTCCGGCAACCCCGGCACCCTGGCCGTGGATGACACTAGCGTGAGTGCCCTGGGCTGAGGGTCAGCGCTCTGGCCTTGTAGATAGACTGTCCCCTGGCCACGTGGGCACAGCCTCCTTCCTCCGGTGGCCTTGCTGCTTCATCAGGCAGGGCTGGCATTTGCCCAAGCAAGGGGGCACCCTGGGGACCAAGTGGCCTGTGCGTGGGGTCACTGTGTGATTTTGGCACCATCTTCATTTCTTCCCAGTTGGAAGGGAGGAGGGTGGCTGGGATGAGGCAGGGTGGATGCCAGGGGTCCCGGGCAGGCTGCTGAGCCCTCTCTCCCCACAGAGTTTGCAGAGCCTGCTCTGCCGTTGCGACTCCCTCTCCCACCTCAGCCTGTCCGGCACCGACTGCTCTTTAGACACTGTGAGTACTCAAACAGGGGGGACCGCGGACCCCACACAGGGTTGGTGACCCCCTGCAGAAACTGCCACAGCCCACCACGTGTTCTYAGCTTCCTGCTTGCATCCTGTGCGACGTGGGGATGCCCAGGGACAGGGATATGACGGCAGTTAGCACTGCAATGCTCTGTTCTGCATCCCACGGCCAGGGTGGGCTGGAAGRCACGTGCTTTGGCAAGAGACAGAAGGGAGCAGGTTGCAGTGGTGGGACCCAGCAGCCCTGCCACGACAGCTCCCTCCCTTAGGGTCTCCTTCACCATCATCACTGTCCCTTTTGGGGCCTGGGGTGCTTGAGGTGTCATGGTGCTACCTAACGTGTCTCGACACCTCCTGCAGATCTTTGGAGCACTGGCCCACGGGTGCTGCACCAGCCTTGTCCATCTGGATCTCTCCAAAAACRTGTATTCTCACAAGTAAGCTCAGCACGTGAAACAGAGGGACTCTCGGCCACATCTTGCCGTGTCCTGGTCAGCAGTGACTGCCTGGCATCTCCTGAGGCAGCAGCAGCCAGGGCAGGCTGCGGGCATGCGCAGGAGATGATGCAGAGATGCTTTGTTTCCTTCCTTGCAGGAGAGTAAAAGATGTCTCTCCTGCTATCAAGCAGTTTTTCAGCAAGGCCTGTGCCCTCAGRCACGTCTCCCTGGCAGGTACCAAGCTGCCTCCAGATGCTGTAAGGTAAGGTGGGAGCAGCATGTTGGCAAGATGTCCAGCTATGCAGAGTCGTCCCTAGGGACCAAGCTACCCRAGTTATCCCTGTGATGGCTCAGCAGGGTGATGGAGAGGCCCTGCYAGTGATGGAAACAGGTTATGGGCAAGTGCAGTCCAGTGGGATCCTTTCCCTATCCCCCTTGTCCCGCTCGGCAGCCTGCGGAGGCTGATGGTCCCCACCTTGCTCTAGCCAAAGCCTTTGGTGACTTTTCCAGGGCCTTACTGCAAGGGCTGGCGGACAACAGTGACATCAGTGACCTGCACCTGGATCTTAGCAGCTGTGAGGTGAGGGGGCAGCTTGGGCATGGTGGGCACCCACGAGCTGCAGGAGCCTCCATAGGTACCATCCAGCCTCCCTAGGGATGCGCATCCCTGAGGTGGGGAGGCCATGGCGGGAGATGTGGGAAGACCCATCCCCTGCCCACCTGCTCCCATTGCAGGGCTCAGTGCCTCCTCTTGTACTGACATGTTTCTCTGTTCCAAGCTGAGGTCAGCGGGGGCCCAAGTCATCCAAGATCTCATCTCTGATGCCAATTCTGTCAGTGACCTAGATTTGTCCGACAACGGTAGGTCATCTTTTTGCTCACCCAGCAGTGCTACCTCCTTCATCCACAGGCACGGCTGCCTCAGGGTGTGCAGCAGAGGCTGACTCAGAGCCACCATCTCCTGAGCTTGTAGGAGCCCCCAGGGAGGAGGAGAAGCTTTGGAGAGACAAGTAGGGTGCCGCCCGTCTGTCAGAGAGAGTCTTGGCACTCTTGCACCACTATTGACTTGTTGTGCAGTCACAGCCAGGCAAGGGGAACAAGGCCCAGAGTGCACCCACCCCTGGGTGATGATACCACCAGGAACACACACATATCAATATATTGATGGTATTGGATGGGGATAATGAGGAAAGTGTATGAGAGACTGCCCATATTGTTTGGTAACACTTAACTGATCATGGTCTTGAGGTGCCCTCTTGTAAATATCAGAGTTTTACAAAATCAGGTGTTTTCCYTGGCTTACAACTGCTCCAAAAGCTTGCTGCCTTCCAAAACTCTCTAKCCAACCTTTCCAAAATGCAGTTTTATTTTGCTTATCCCTAGACATCAACTCTGTGCTGGAGGGACAGGGAGTGCCCAAGAGCTGCATGCCATCCGATAGACCTCCAGCACTGCAGATTTTTCAGTATTCACTTAATAACAGCAGTCGTTTGCTCCACTAGGCTCCAGTTAAAACTTTTGAGARGGAAAGGCCTCTAAAACATTGGCCAGAGCAGTACCAGTTTTGCAGAGATCAAGCTGCTCTTAGAGTAGTTTTGCACACCATCCATTTCTCTGGTGAGCTGGAGACTGCTGGTTRCATGGAGGAGGAGGATGCCAGGGACAGCTTCATCGCTATGTGTGTGCAAGAGGCAGTTAAGGACAAATCCATGGTGGTGGCCTGGGGGACCATTCCTCTTAGAGCTGTGTCCTCTTGGGCTTTGCCCAGCAGCTCTTGGGTGCCTCTTGCCCTGGGACAGTGGAGTAGCAGGGTGAGAGGTCCCTGTGCAGCAGCAGGACCATAAACCACTCTCCAGGCCTTTGTCATCTAGACCAGCATCCTGCTGGGTATCTCACTGCTGCACTCATCTCTCACAGGTTTTGACTCCGATATGGTGACACTGGTGCTGTCCATTGGCAGAAGCAAGTCCATTAGGCATGTCTCTTTGGGAAAAAACTTCAACATCAAATCCAAGTAAGTGCAAGCCATGGCACTTTGTCCCCAGGTCCTAGCACCACGCGCCCTCCTCACTTCTGTCTCTCCACCTGAGCCCTGGGCCAGCCGGGAATGCCAGGGATTGCCTTGTCTTCTATCAGAAGCTTCCCTGCTCTGAGGGACTCCCGAGGGGACTGTTACTTGCTCCTGACCCAGTCCTTGCTGCATCACAGGCTTCCCAGACACAGGCTGAAGCCTCTTGAAATGTGGGCAGGAGGCAGACAGGAGTCCGACGTGTCTGGTGGCTTTGGCCATGGCAGGCGGGTTGTGCTTTGGCAGCTGCCCATGGTCTTCTGCGGGGACGTGGCACTGGGATGCATGTGTAGCTATCTGCCTCTCCTGCAGAGACGGGCTGGTGGATGTGCTGCACCGTATTGTCCAGATCACCCAAGAAGATGACTGTGTAAGTACCTCCTGCTGACCACAGGGCCCTCATCTGCTCCAGCCATCCCACCCATGCACTGCCTCTCATCCACCACCGTAGCTCTGTGCAGACTCTGCTCCAGGGACACTGTCCAGCTCAGCGTGATGGACACATCTCCTTCCTTTTCCCCCCTTCCAGGCTCTGCAGTCGCTGTCGGTGGCCGAGTCGCGCCTCAAGCTGGGAACCAACGTCCTGCTCAGCGCCCTGGGCAGCAACACCAGCCTCGTTGCGCTGGACATCAGCGGCAATGCCATGGGAGACACCGGTGCCAAAATGCTGGCCAAAGCCCTGCAGATCAACGCAAAGCTCAGGTAGCCGTGGCCACAAGCCCCTGTCCCTGTGGGCATCCTGTCCACGTTGTGCCCAGTAGCCTCAACACAACAGTCCTCACTGTAAAGCTGATGCCATTGAACGAGGTTTATTGTGGCTCCTTGTGACCCCAGATGCAGCTCCACACCAGCATTTGATAGCTCTTTTCCAGGCTTCTGTGAGCCCAGGATGCTGGAGCCTTGTGGTCACTTCTCATCCATACTTCAGTATTAGTGCCCCAGGCCCTGGCAGAGAGATGTTTCCAGTCCATTAAATGTCTTTATTTTTTGTTTATTAATTATTTGTTTTTTACCAAATCCTACATGAAAAGGAAAGGCAGAGGTTTCTGYAAGGGACAGGGAGTTGGGAAAGGTCTCCCGGCTGGAGACATTTCTCCATGAGACCTCTGCCCTGGCTGGCAGTGATGCCTGTTGGAGAAGGACCGTCCTCCCTCCACTCCCTCCAGATATCCAGCCACTCTGCAGCCCTCTGCATGGGGCAAGTTTATAGGTTTTGAATTACAAGGTTAAGATTTTCAGCCCTGTTTCCCTGCCTCTTGGTGTGTGGATTCAGAATATTTCAGAATATTTCAGAATATTTAAGGTTGGAAGGGACCTCTACAGATCATCTAGTCCAACCTTCCTGCTCAAGCAGGCACACCTAGAGCATGTGGCACAGGGTGGCATCCAGGCGGGTTTTGAAGACCTCCAGAGTAGGAGACTCCACAACCTCCCTGGGCAGCCTGTTCCACTGCTCTGTTACCCTAACAGTAAAGAAGTTGCTCCTCACCTGGAGACGGAACTTCTTRTGCTTCAGYTTGTGGCCATTACCCCTCGTCCTATCGCTGGCCACCAGTGAGAACAGCCTGTCCCCTTCCTCCCTGCATTCTCCCTTCCTGAACTTATACATATTAATCATATCCCCTCTGAGCCGTCTCTTCTCCAGAGAAAACAGGCCCAGCTCGCTCAGCCTCTCTTCATACGAGAGATGTTCCATTCCCTTAATCATCCTGGTTGCCCTTCTCTGGACCCTCTCCAGAAGCTCCACGTCCCTCCTATACTGGGGTGCCCAGAACTGMACACAGTACTCCAGGTGCGGCCTCACCAGAGCTGAGTAGAGGATTCAGCTTGTCTGAGACATCCTGCTATGCAGTGGGGTTGGCACAGCTTGGCATGGCCCCCCGATAGCCAAGTGCTGCTGCCAGTCCCTGCCTGAGGAGCAAGCTGGTGTCCCCCTCGGAGAGCTGACACGGGCTGCTGCGTTGGTCTGGAGAGAGCTCACTCTTGTCCCCTTTGCAGGACCGTGGTTTGGGACAGGAACAACACAACTGGCCATGGACTCCTGGAGGTGGCCCAAGCCTTGGAGAGGTAGAGAATGGGCGGCTTGGCTGTCCTACCCTCCTGCCACCGTGCACAACCCCGGGACATCACCATCCCCACGCCCCACAAATGCAGCAAGTGCATCTCGCAGGGCTGGCTATGGCCACGTTTCCCCCTTCCAGCACCACAYGTCACTTAAGAGGATGTAGAGTCAAGTTTTAGAGAGGAAACTGTTTCTCCTGAGCTGTGGTACCCCCAGGAGCTGAGAGGCTGTACCAAGGGTGCCAGGGGTCTGTATCCCAACCCAGCACAGACTTTCCTTGCTCTGAACCACACCAAAGCCATCCCACAGTGATAACTTTTGTGAGGACGGAGCATTCCAATCGTTCCTGTCCAGAAAAGATGGAAAAATCMTTCACCTGTTGAGATCCCATGGGGTTTGATCATCTGCTTGAGCTTGGCCATCCCTGCAAGCCAAGGAATGGGGATTATGTGAGCAGGGAAATGCCTTCCCCATGCACATGTTTCCTGTGGAGATAAGACCACAGGACTGATGTGCCCGGGTTTCTGCCACCGCCAGGCAGGAGGTGCCACGCAGAGGTTGGGCTGCAGCAGAGGTGCTGGCAGTGCCACTGTCCCAGCACTCACCTGTGCCCTTGCCCTGCAGGAACTATACCCTCAAGTCCATGCCCTTGCCCATGAGCGACGTGGCACAGGCCTATCGGAGCAACCCTGAGAAAACGGAGGAGGCAGTGCACAAGGTGGGGCTGGGGGCCGGGGGAGCGGGGCTGGGGTGCCACAGACCCCCCTCACGGCTCTGTTCATGTGCTACAGATCCAGTCCTWCTTGATGAGGAACCAAATGCGGCGTGCGCTGCCCACCCAGACCTTCCGACTGCAGCAGGGCATCCTGACCACGTCCTCCGAGCAGGTGAGCACCAAGCGGCTGCACCCACGGCCGCTCTGCTCCAGCATGAGTGACCTGGGGTAGAGCAGACGTCGGGCCAGCTCACACTGACTCCTGCAAGCAGCACGGACCTCTCTGCTGCTTCTGAGCACAGGACATGGAGAAGAGAGCAGGGCTGGGCAGGAGGGAAYGGGGCTGAGATCCCTGGAGCTATCCTGGCTTGTCGTTGTGCTGCAAAGAATTCAGTGCTGAGATATCCCACCACTCATCCCGCTTCTGCACAGTGTTTTGCCATCTTCATGTGCTGAACGCGTGCAAGAGAATCCCTGCTGCCCAGCATCCCTGGTCACTGAGCAGGGAAGACCTTGGGGAGAGTTACCTGCGTGGGCTCCCAATGGGACAGCCCCCGTATGTCCTCYTCCTYGTCCTCCTCCTGGGATATCACAGARAGGACAGAGCCTTCCAGTGCTGCTCAGACTGACGGCATCTCCTCTGTGCTCCAGATGGTGAACGAGATCTGCCTCAGTGTGCAGAAGCACGTTGACGTCCTCAGCTCCTGCCTGGGCAAGGAGGTGGAGACTGACATCCTCTTCGCGGAGGAAGCCATCAGGAACGCCAACCTGTCTGTCAGYGTGAGTCTGCCGCACCCCGGGGGAACTGGGGCCGCCTTCCCTTGGCACTGCGGGGAGGGAAGAAAAGCACTCTGCTCGTGGGGCTCCAATCCAAGATCGAAGCAGTATGTTGGTTTATTGATGACATTTAACTAACAGGCACTGAATTTCTGAGATTAATATCATCAGCGCTACAGACATACTTTGTGCTGCTGAACTCTTGCAGAATGTTCAAAAACAGCGTCTGTAAAAAATCCCCAAATGTTCTGATTTACGCACATGCAACCCTGGGAACTGTGGGTTCATCCTGCAGTGTGTCCCCTCTTCAGGAAGGCAATTCCCCTGCTTGCAGCAGCCTCCTCTGGGAGCTGGGCATGCTCTGGCTTTGGAGCTGTCCARTTGTCTCTACATGAGCTGGCGAGGCCAAGAGCCACGGTGCTGCGATGGGGACAGACGCAGCCCATCACAACAGGGTGCTTGCACAGGGCTGGCACTGACCCCACAACCTACAGCAAGTGGCCCCTTGCAGGGTGGGAGGTGAGGAGGGGAGAGCCTCTCGCCACTCGCGGCCACGTGTCCCGGTAGCATCTGGTGGCTCCACCCCAGCGGAGATGCTCTGCAGGGACCTGGTGCTGTCCTGCAAGTCCTGGGGACAGACGGCTGCACGTGGTGAGCGCGCTTCCCTGTAACAGGTGAGAAGGAGGTTGCTCACCAGCTCCCTGCTGTTAGGAAAAGCCTCTCGTGAGATTGATCAGGCCAAGGAGAAGAGTGCAGGGAGCCCAAGCCCAGCCTAGATGCTTGGGTCTCCTGAACTAATGCAGGGAGTGCTTTGTCATGGGGCAGCCATGGACCAGGACTCACCATGCATGGCCAAGGGTAAAGGCCACTTGCTGTGTGCTGATCCACACYTTGTCTCCTCCCTTTGCAGATTTTGCCTCTGCTGTATGAAGCAGGCAACACCCCGTACCAGAACGGCAAGCTGCAACATAAGATGGAGTGTCTCACAGAGGAAGTGTCGCAGGCTTGCGGCCGGGAGATCCAGGTGGGTGCCCTCTGGGAGCCCCCACCGGCACGGGACACCCGTCAGCTTCAGCTCGGGGTGATGAAGTCCGAGATGCAGGGACTGTCCTGCCAAAAGGAGGCCAGCCTGATGCACGGGGTGCTCCAGCAGTGCTCTTTCTATCACCTCCATCACCCAGGTCCTCCCTATACCCAACATCTCCCGAGACAAATTAGGAAAACACTTGAATCCTGCTAGAAAAGATGCAGAACATTCCCTTTGTATCCCCCAAACCTCTGGCTCTGCCCCAGGCGATCATGCAGGCAGTGCTGGACACGGCGCACAACCTRTGTCCGGACATGGTGCAAAAGAGGGGAGTCAGGGACCAGCTGGTGAACGCCATGTCCGAGCGCATCTACCTGCAGGACCATCTCCACCTCAGTTCYGTCCTGGACCAGGTGGTCACCGATGTCTTCAGCAAGCTCAAGTGAGTGACGTGGCTGYTCCCCTTCTTGCCTGGGGCTGCTGTGGCCATGCAGCTCAATCTCTCTGTACCCACACGCGTCCCACTGGACGTGGAGGCACCTCTGGTGGCTGCCCTACAGGTTGGGCTGTTGGGGCCACTCTGTCCGCGGTGGCTCTGACACCCCATTCTGCTCCCAGTGAAATCAAGCTGTCCGTCACGGCGGCTGTGGCCGACTGCATGGTGGACGCYGTGCTGGGGGACCTGAGCGCTGCCCAGTGCAAGCTGGTGAGTGCTGGGGGGCGCCAGCCCTCGTGGGGACACGGGGCAGGGGCGCTGGCATTGCCTGGGCACCAGCCAACGCAGAGCCTGCAGATTGGCTGCCCGGCAAGCAACACGCTTCCCACTCCCAGGTAATCCTCTCCCATGACTGTCACARCAGGATTAACCCCCCTAGGGCTCCTCGCCAGCCCAGCTGAGGTCTGGGGGCYGCCCCATGGCGGGGCGCGTTGCAGGGTGCCAGGAGGAAGCCGGGCAGCAGCCGCCCATGCACCAGGGCTCTCCTGGATGAGGCTGGAGCCGGGCGGCCACGCCGGGGCACGGCCAGGACGGGCAGCTGGCTAATCAGACCTAAATCCGCTCGCAAATCTCGGGCACGGGAAGGGAGCGGAGCGGCACGGCCGAGCACGCCCCAGCCGAGGGAATGATTCGCGCGCTTCCTCACGGTTTTAGGCCGAGAATCTCCTCAAGCACGGGCTGGAGCTGCCATCCTTGCAGCTGGAGGCCGCTGAAGATGATGCCGCCGCGCCGATGAGGGGCAGGAGTCCCCTGGAGAGCGCCGAGAAGGGCTTCGCCGCAGAAGAGGTAGGGCTCGGCTCYCTGCGTGCCTGCACCGTGTCCCGGCCACCCGAGGGCTCGGTGACACCCGGAGGCATCAGGCCTGATGGCCGGTGGCTGTGGCCAGGGCACCTGTGCCTGCTGCTGYGTGATACCCATGTGTAAGGGCTTTTATTCACCTTACCGGCTGGAATTAGGGCACTGGCCTTAGACACCAGTGTCTGTGTGCTCGAGCAGCTCCCCCAGGTGCCTCTGCCACCTTAAGGCCAGGTCAAAGCTTAGGCAATTAGCCTGGCCAAGAAATGGGTCCATCCATGGTGCCACCAGCTCTGTCTGGCTCTGGCACCAGCTCAGGGCCACACAGTGGCCAAAACAGCTTTTTGCCCCCCAGATCTTGTATAACCTTTGCACAGCGCTYGGGAAATGGCCAGAAAGACCCCTAGTTCAGGTGAGGTCAGCACCTCGGATGCTTTGGTTGGGTGCTGAAGATGAGCAGGAGCAAGAAGAGAGGGCCTAATGTCGAAGATTGAGGGTGGTAGAGGGGTTGCAACAGGCGCAGGMCCAGGGTTGGCTGGATCAAGCAGCCTCGGAGGCACTGCTGGGGGTGGCTCCCGGCCGCTGTCCCCCATGGTGGTCTCCGTCCGCCTCCATCGAGTCGGCGAGCAGGCAGCGAGAGCACCGCTGCCTTTACGAACGGGCTSTCTCCTCCTCTCCCTGCAGTACAAGATGGCTCTGCGGAGGAAGAACAAGCATTTCAGGAGCATCCGGCCCACGCCGACTATGAGAAGTAAGGTGGCCACGCGGCCGCCCSGGCCCCTGTGCCCTGCCCTCATACAGGCCCGCAGCAGCGAGGTGCCAGGGGACGTTTCCTTGCCACTGGGGTGTCACGGTGCCAGGGGGCACACCTAGGACCAGGGCCCCGTGCTGGTCATCGGGGACCGCTGCACACGGGGGAGCCCCTAGCCCAGTGCTGGGCACCRCATTGCTTGTTTGCCCTTGGGCTCCCAGAAGCCAAGGACCCACCAGACCAGAGCGCAGGTACCCRGTGCCTACCCTGGATGCCCTGACCGGCCAGGCCTAACCTTCTGCTCACCCCCTGCCCAGGTTACATGTAATCAGTGTAACCGCCTGGCCCGAGAAGCCACCAGCTGGGGACGGTCCCGGACCAGCTCCCTGCCCACCCGCTCATCCATCCTCTCCAAGCGCCAACGGTCGCGCTCTGTCCGGCACATGGGGGCCCTGCCGAAACCGGGGGCTCGCCGGGGGACTCGCGGGCTCGCCGGGGGACTCGCGGGCCTGCGGGCAGTGCCCGGCGCCACCCGCGCGGGTCGGGGCCCAGCTTGGGCCTGGCTGCAGGGCACCGCTTGCGTCACCCGCCCCGCCACGCTCCCCCTAGCAAAAAAA